AATGTGTATATTCTGTTTCATTGCAGTTGAATGACTGTCTTCATATCTCAGAAGAGAAAACAATTGCTTTACTTTTGTATTTTATTGATAAATACAAGCTATACAGTGACTTGAAATCCACATTAAAAATCCTGTTTTCCCAGTGTGGTTCCTTAAAATCAAGGTCTCAAAAGATATTCTGCTTTCAGTTAAATTACTTAATTCTCTGTGACTTACTTCATTAACGTGTACATTTATGTTACTGCCAAAAATTGTAACACTGTCAGGCAGGGTAACAGATGTTAAGCAGTACTTACTCTGCATTGTATTGTTAAGCTGGGATCCATTTTCAACAATTGCATCTAAGGTATTTGAGTTCCAGTAACTACCAGGTGAAATGATTGAGTAATGTAGAATAAAGAACTACTGAAAAACAGTGGTCTTTTAACACTTGTGTTGACCTGATATCTCTTATTACCTCTCTTACATTGTTGCTTATTGCCACATCATATTTTGTAATTTGTTAACCTTTTAGTTTATAAAGATCAGTTGCTCCATATAAAATTTGAAAGTGATGCACTAGGTTGTCTGTAGATTATATATCTAATAGAACCCGTCCCTTGAAAGTGACTTTTACCATAAACATCTGTAGCATGTGAGTCAAACACTTAAAATGGCCATCATCAGCACAGTAACTAATACCCACAGCAATACATCCAGCTGTTAAAATATATTACCTATATCATTCTGATATGAATGACTCAAAGGCTCTTTTCAGGCCCATATAGTATTGATATCCCTCAATGGTAGGTTCACCATGGACATTACCAGTGTAACTTTCACTGTATTCTAGCTGGTAGTCTTCCTCTAGTACTGTCAGCATGGATGGAAAATCTGTTAGCAGTAAAAATGATTGTCTTGATAATTGTGACAAACTACTATATAGTTGACTTCCAATATGCATTATTTGTTTCAAGTCATTTGGATTGCCTATTCCTTTCATATTGTGGTATATTAATCCACATAAAATCATTGCAACACATTGTTGCCCTGCAGTTTGTGCAAATACAACAACATCCCCTTGACTATATGGTGCATACAAGGAACAGGGTTTTCTCTATATCATTATAGAGCTTGTTCTTTGTACAATTGCCTCTGTGAATTACACCCTTGTACTCACTATATGGGAAATTACACAAAAAGAGCCTTAAGTATTTGAGATATTTCTCTCCATGTTTATCTTTTCTTGAATTGCAGACATATCTCATTGAATTGACACTGTAAAATCATTATGTTCATGTACGTTGGTCATATTGACAACTTTTTGTAGTAGATCACAATCATCAAGAGTATTCATCATGTCTTATACAAAGAACATACAACTCCATGCGGAGAGCAAACCAACATTCACGATCGCTTGTATAATAATAAGAGTGATTGTGTAAGAAATACCAAATCGTACTTTACAAGTATTGAACCCGATAAAAACCAATAATAGGAACAGGATATTTAACGGAAGAGCTAAGCTTAGATATTCAACCTTACTATTCAAGTTGCTTCTGTCAGTATCCTTATCCAGTATTCGCTGTTGTTAGCGTCACCTTCGAAGTTGTGTTCACGAACATTCTTGATTTTTTCAGCAAGTGAGGTGTTCATCTCAGCATCATAGTTTGTTGTTAAATCCGCTGTGACAGTTTTGCCAGTATTTTGGAAGTTTGAACTCCATATGGCTCATTTGTTATCTCGTGAGAACTAGTTTGAACTTTGCACATTTGGCTAGCTTTCAAGTTAAAAACGAAAAACGCTCGAAATCATTTAGTGTGGGCCTACCTGGAACAGCGTGTGCATTTGTATGTGAAATGAGCGCATAAGACAGGAATCTTTGCAAGGCGGACTTCAAAAAACACAGCATTCCGTAAATTTGTGTTGTTTACGGAGAGCGAGCACATGATAACACAAGTTGCAGCACTCTCATCCTACTCATCATCATTTCCGCGGTTTACGCAAGGAACGCCTGAGACCATAACCCCCCTTTTGGCGCCTAAGAACGGCCTGCATTTTAAGACTTGGGCATGAAAAGGATGAAATTTTGCTATTCCAATCATGACTCAGCGACTACTTGAATTGAATCAGTGGTGGAAATTATGAAAAAAAAAAAAAAGAAAAAAAAAAAGACAAACAAAAAACTCGTATCCTACTCTTTGCAGAACATGTCAGCTGCCTGAAGTGCTTATCAAAGTACCCTCCATATTTCACCGGTTACTCCTCTGAAGCCAGGGACTGCCCGGGAGCCACCTTAAGAAATTCAGCCCTTAACGATCAGAAGCTGGTTTGCTGTATCTTGGATACTGCACCTGTCTCATCACAAAAAAATGTCACACAAAATATCATTGTGTCTTTTGAAACGTATCTTGACTTGGTTGGAGATACCACAAGGACAAGAGCATTGTATCCTTTTTACAAGGAAGCGTTGCATACTGCTGAGATGTGGAGTAAACATGAAATAGCAGCCTTCACTGCTCAAGTATGTTAAATGGCAACAAACAGAACATTAGAGAATTCTCTTGGATACGCTTATTTCTTCTGGCTCAAAAAAATTGAATACTCGAGTTCCAAAATTCTTCACGCCAACTCCTTGAAGAAATTTATTGCTTTTGATGTCCACAATATAGAATGTCTCCTGTTTTATGAGTGTCGTCGAATGGCATGCCATCAGAACAATGTAGCGAGGTAGTTGAATGTAGAGTTTGAAGGTGCATCTCATTATAAATGACGTTTGTGTTGCCCATTTTTTGTCGACGTTGACCTGACGCATTTCTTGTTCTTGATCTTACCTAGATATTGTATCAAACATCAGGAATGCTATATTCAGAGGAAAATTCCGATGGAGAGAAGTATAAAGGAAAAGAAAGCTTGGGAAATACCAGAGCATCTGATGCCCGTAAATACATAAGCAGAGGATTCCTTCCTCTGATAGGAAAACACATGTATCAACTTGTGAAAACTTCACTCAATATAAATATCACACGTAAGTCTGAAAAAAATTCTGTTGAAGGGAAAAGGTTCATTTTTTGATACCAATGAAGTGTATTGCAGGGTATTGTGAGCCTAATTTTCAGGTAATAATACTCCATATATTTCTCTATAGAACAGCCAGAAATGGTTGCGTTGCCATCTGTTGGATTTAGGGTCGCGGCATGGCTTTGGTTGAATGGTTACAGCTCAGCTGATAACAGCAGCTTGCCCACCGGAGATTTAAGAAAACTCTGCAGTGGAACTGAATACAGCTTTGCGAATTTATCCATGAAAATTTATGGTAATATTGATATGAAGTGATATACCTCTCGTGCATCGAGCATGCGCCACAACGTAATGCCATCTTGCATGTTTTTAGGCCCTCAACACCGCTTTGTTTTTGGGAGAAAATACTAGAACTACATAGAGGAAGAGAGGTAATCTTTTCCTCAAGGCACATAAATTACGTGCACGGCAATGACCTTATTCTCCCATCCCCTCGGTAATTTTTTAGTCAAGTTTCATTGAATTCAAGAGACCTTTACGTAGAAAATCTTCTCTTTGAATCAGGATACCAGCATTTAGTTTATGGCTCCGATCCTTAGTGTATAGCTGTACTCGACTGAGTGTGCTTTAAAATATATGTACATGTCAGAACAGAGAGGAAGGAAGCACAATTTTGTATAATTTTCTTCTTTTCTCTTAGATTGTCAAAATGCAATCGATTTGGTGTTTGTATTGGATTCTTCTAGTAGCGTCAACCCCACAAATTTTCAAATTGGACTCCAGTTTATCATAAAGGTGTGCCAGTATTTCGACATCTCTTACCCTCTTGGCACTCGAGTGGCTGTTATCACATACACCAATTTCAACTCTTCAACGATAATGTTTCACTTTAACACCTTCAACAGAAAGCAAGACGTCATTAATGCAATAGCAGTAATACAATATCAAGGTAATGGCACACGCACTGACTTAGCACTCTCAGAAGCCTACACAAAGCTGTTTGAAAACCCTGAAAATGGTGTGAGACCCAAAGAATTAGGTGTGCCAAGAGTGCTTGTTCTTCTCACC